TATTCTATTCTATTCTATTCTATTCTATTCTATTCTATTCTATTCTAAAGCTTCTGTCTGCTATGGTGGCCAGAGCAAAAAAATGATTAGAGGGAACAGAATCATGCCTCCTGGAGGGAAGGCACCGATCCTGTAGGAAGCCAGGTAGAGCCAAGCAAGGGTGCTGACCCTCCAGTATTCCTCCTCCTTACCATCTAGAATGCCTGCATAAAAAGTTTCTCTATGGAAAACACCACCTCCCTATTAGATTATCTTGATCCAGATTCAGCCTACCTCAGCCACAGCCTAGCAATATGGCAGAATGTTCTCTGTCAGGAAAAATCCTCAATAACTCAGTAAGCGCTCAGTAAGATAGGTGTGTACTTTGATTTATAATGGTGCAGTACGCTAATCCTTTTTCAGATGTATTTAATTTAGTTTAATGCCAAGATTAAACACATACTCATATAATGTTTCTTCCTCCCAAACATGTTAATGCTGCTTAAAAGGCAGATAAAGGAAAATAAAGTCATGGAAATAGTATGTAGAAAAGTTATGGAAACTAATCAAAGAGAGAAGCAACCTGGAATCCTAACACCGAAGACAATTAACCAGTGGAACAGTTTGCCTTCAGAAATCATGGGAGGTTTTTAAGAAGAGATTAGACTACCACTTGTCTGAGATTGTATAGGTTCTCCTGCTTGAGTAGGGGGTTGGACTAGAAGACCTCCAAGGTCCCTTCCAGCTCTATTCTATTCTAGTACACCCACACAAAGAATATTCTGGATATGTGTTGTGCTTATGCAGAGACCTTATCACCCTTTTCAAAACTATGCCTTTGCATCAAGACCAGAACCATGCAAAATTCTTCTAATCCAGGGGAGATTGTTAGACTTCATCAAGATGATAGAAGCAGCTCTCAGAAACCACAAGAAACTGTTAAATGCATGGTTTATGTAGAACCTCTGAAAAAAATGAGTTCTTCATAATAGTTCAACATTAAATGCCATACTAAAATAGTATGTGTCTTTTTTTTGTGTGTGTGTCTTTTTAAAAACGCTAAGTATGCCCTTTCTAATACACTGACATTGCATTTCAGGTCCTGAACGCTCTAGATGAACTGGGTGATTTTTTGTGTCTGAAATATTCCCGGCACGCTAAGTCATCTCGTCCTGAATTGTATGATGAAACGAGCTTTGAACTTGAAGATTAAGTTTCCCTCCCATGGAGAAACCGTAATGATGTTACAAGGAGGAGATGGGGATCTCAACAATAGGAATGCATTTCTCTTTTTCTAAGAACAGGTTTTGCTTCACCGTTACCTAATCCAAGAGAAGCATTTTATGTCTGTTTTTAACCAGATTGAATTCTGTCTGCAAAGGACTAGAATATTGTTGCGGTTCTCTCACAAGGAAACACAAGTATTATTGTTATTGTTATTATTATTATTATTAGACCCCAAAGACTTTAACTGCTAGATCAGTTGCTATTATGCAGCTCTTGTTGCTGTTTTAAGAGCAGAGTTAGAAAAAAAATTAATTATGAGAACACTTTTTAAAAATGAATTGGAATGTAATACAATAGCTGAAAACAAAGTTATCTTGTTAAATTGGCCCTTATTTATAGAAGAGGTGTATCTCTAATGCAGCTCAACAGGATTTAGGCAAAAAAATCCCCATCAAGTAGAAATTCTTCAACATACTGAGTAAACCGGAGCTTGATTCAGGGTTAAATCAGTGGTCTTTCATGGTTTTGTGTAACTTTAAGTATTATTGTTAGAAAGTTTTGAGTAAAGGAAAAAAACAAACCAATTCATCTTTGCTGCTTGGTATTTTTTAAAAAAATTGTTTTATATTTCAATTGATAAAGTTAAGCCAAAACAGTGTCAATTCAGATTCAACATTGTTGAATTATTTGAATTATTTCATAAAGGAGGATTACTTATTTAATTTTCAGATAGGTTTTTAGAGTTGTCACACACAGTTTTAATAACCATTTCGCTTTCCCATTTGCAATGTGTTAAGCTTTTCAGTATGAAAAAAAAAGCAGATGTCATTTGTAAGACACTTCTTTCTCCATGAATATTTGTTTGCTCAGTAAGCAGGCTGCTGATTTGAAACACTCAGGCTATTACAGAATATAATTCTAAAAGACCTTAGCATTTGTGACTGCTGCCTTCAAGTTGAAAGAACTATCCGTTTTACCTTATTACTTATAGGAGACCACACTGAATGTTCTTTTCTGGAAGGTTGATATACTGCACCCATCTTTTTCATGAGGCTAAAATTATTAACTGTTTTAAAATATGACCAGTTGATTTGAAAACAGCATTTGGAGATTAAAGGAACAAGTGGATAGGATTCCATTTCTGTTTCACCAAATGATGAAGGAGCCAGGACTAATGTGAATATACCACTGTTGTCCAGTCTCAACAATTAAGGCCTCAGATAGCTATACACACATACACACATACTCTAAGATAACTGGTTGAAAGGCATTTCTATCACTTTTGAGAGAGATACAAACCATTCGAAAGTCTCATGATACTGTAAACATGTCTGATCAAGAGATGGCTCGGCTTTCTGTTTCACAGATGTATTTTACTTTCATGTTCTTAAAAAGCTGTGGTATCCATTTAACACAGCTGCAACATTAGATTTAAGAACTGAACAATTAAATTGTGGAATACCAATTACAGTATGGGATTCCCTTGCTTGGTAAAGCAGCTTTGAGGATAAAGCAAGGCTGATTAGTTTTGAGGTCCCTTCTTGTTATTCAAGTTAATAAAGTTCAGTGGGGCTACAGTGTTAAAAATGGAGCACGGTGCATTCCAGAATAGCAGATCTCTGCTTCACAAGTATAGGAGGGTAAGGGGAGCGAATTGTACAGTGTTGTATGATTGTTCACATTGGCAAATGAACTTGAGAAACACTAAACAGGCCCATGTTTGTGCATTATACTAAAACTGCTGTATAAAAATAAAGGATGTTTTTGTGTGTTTTTTAAAATACTTGAAGTTGGTTCATTTCTTGGTCATTAAAAAAAAAAAATTGGCACAATGACTCAGGACCAATCTGCCCCTGATGAATGACCATATGTTAACAAAGAAACTATGTTCTACAAAGTGTTATAAAAATTTCCCGAAGACCCTGTTCTCGGTGTCTTTTCCTCCACAATTCTCTTCAGCCGCTAGCAATTTGCTTTTGCCTGTTTCACTGTATTTCTATACTTGGAACAGCCTACTAAGAGCAGATGCTGGAAAGAGCAAGCTTCTCTGATCATGATCAAAGAAAGCAGGACTCTGGTTTAGTGCTGTACATAGTTATGCTGCCTGAAGCAGAAGAAATGTGTGTTGAATGCGTTCTGAAGTTTGTTGGTAGAGCCATCTGATTTTGTTGTTCCCATGTGCAGTATGGCCATTCACATGATAGCCGTAATGGTGAACTTAAAAACAGTCGTCTTATCTGGTTTTGCTGTTTTCACCTTAATTTTTTCTGACTTGCGCTAATTTTCACATCTGTAATTTAATAGCAGAATCAAATGCTTCTCACTTCCATTTGGAAATTAGCACATAAGGCAGCTCAGGGGTGGGATTCTACCAGTTCGCACCTATTCGCTAGAACCGGTTGTTAACATTCTAAGCAGTTCGGAGAACCGGTTGTTAGAAGAAATTACTGGCCTAATCCTGTAAGGAAGGCAGGAAGGAAACATGCTGGTGTTGCTTACAGAAACTGCCTCTCCGTTAACCCTTATTACATTCTTGGCAGGACTAGAATTCCTCTCTCAGGAACATCTCTGGAGGTTTTTCCCCCCCTCCTTTGCTGGTACTTTGCTTGTGTGGTGTGACCATTTAAAATCACAATGGCACTAAAAATAGTGACTTATGACCATTTTTCACACTTATGACTTTTGCAGCATCCCCACAGTCATGAGAGGCCAGGCGAGGAGATGCGTGCCTCGATGTGAGTGATATTGAGTTGGCCACACCCAACCAATAACATGACCACCAAGCCATGTCCACCCAGTCACATGACCACCAAGCCACGCCCACCACCTAAGCCATGCCCACATAACTGGTTGTTAAAAATTTTGAATCCCACCCCTGAGGCAGCTTCTTCTGGGTTGTAACTATAATCTAGCTTTCTGAGCTACTGAAAGCACTAAAAAGGTTCTACAAATGCAGTGACATCATTTTTTTATTTGCTTGAGTTAACATATTCAAAATCAATGTATTTTGCCTGATAAGACCACCAAAAACAGGTGAGAGGGAAGTCAACTGAAAAAAAAATGCCTCTTTAGCCTGATGTTCAACAGTACCATGGTCTCAAGAGGACTACAGAGCCACAAGTAAGAGTGCAGAGAATTATAGATGGGTTCCCATCTTAATCACAGGGGGACATGTAAGTTGGTACTAATGCAGAAATGGATGGACAGATTAGTTTGTATTATTCCAACATCAAATTATATGAAGTACTATCTAAAAAAAAGATCTAGGATAAAGAAATGTATCAAGGCCATCTGAAATGCACTGAGGGTTTTGGCCAATCTTCCTAAAATATTTTACTTTGCCCCTTGGCTCCAATGTTTTGGAAGCGGGAAATAATATTTAAAATGTCAAAATACAGCAATTATAAAATCAGATCAAAAGAGCGTTATTTGGTGCAACAGAAGAAAATTGGCCAGAAAACCTATTGGGGAAAAATTAATGATTGGCCAAAGCTAAGTAGTTTCTTTTCTTTAGTGCACACTCATCTCACTTAAGATAACAGAGGATCATAATTGTTAAACCAAAGCAGTTTCAGAAGGAGAAAACTATTAAGGCCAAGAGTCTGTCCTCAGCTTTGTCTGTCCTTTGTCTGTCCAAGAGTCTGTCCTCAGCTAACAGTTTTCAAAGCTGGAAACGAAGATCTCTGTTTTAATATACTTGGACCCTAAAACTTGTCAGATTTTCATAAGGATTACGCACACTCCAAAGAACTTCAAAGAGGGCAATATTTTAAAATAAATATATTAAAACTCAAGCAAAGAAAAACCCAACGAAACTGCTTAAAAATCTGATAGCTCAGAAATATACATTACAGAGGAGTTCTGGGGGAAATGTCAACATTTTCAAAAATGGAAAAACTGACTTGTTTGATTAGGGAAGAAGCAACAAGTATTTTTGTTTGTGCCTGGAAATCCTTTTTTATTTTTGCTGAAAATGGGGGGGAAACGGAAGTGGCGATTCAAATCAAACAGAAGGTAGGATACAAACAAGTAAATTTTGAAGAGCTAAAAATATTAAAAGGATATATAAAAACAAGAGTCCCCCAAAAATGTATAGGGAGCGGTAGATAAGAGGTAGCTCAGTTCAGATCATTTGTGTGAAAGAAAATGGGTGACGTCAGCTCCTTCCTAATTGTTTTCATAATATATTGTTCCTATAAATTTCTGGGTGTTTCTGTTCAGCAAGATTCTGTCTATAGGCGTGGAGCAATAAATCTATTTGGAAGAATCACCATGTGCCTTTCTTGGTTTTTGTAGCCTGACAGTTTCTGCAATGCTTAGCTGAGGAGACAATTTCCTTGGGAGATCCCTGGATATTCTGGAGTATTAATCTCAGGGAAATCATTGTCAATATCACTAACATAGTTACTGGTGAAGAAGAAGTCAGAATAGTGTGCTAAAAGCTTTTGGTGTCCAAGGCAAAGCAGAGGCTGCGGTATGAGACGATTTTGAAGATGAGCACCTCAATGGGGCAGATGTATTATTATTATTGCTGGATTTCCATATCACTTACCAACACTGGGAGGGTATGTCAGAATTGTTTTGATGTCTGCTAGCTTCCTCCCATTAATGAGTTCTGAGTTTATAGATTTAGTTTCCTTCCTCCTTGGAGTTTGCTTAGCCTCCTTAGTTTTGGCAAGTGTGGCAGATTTACTACCTTTTAGCTGTATATTTTTATGGTTATTATCTGCAGAGTCACAATCATTTGTCCCTTTCCTAGTGATGAGGTCACGAACTAACTCATCCTTAGGGGTTTTAACAGTTTGGATGTGCTGAGTCTGCCACAAGAACTCACTCATTTGTGTGAGTCTGGTGGCAGAGACGATTGTTTTAAATCCAGGAATATGCGCTTAAAATTTCTTGAATTGGGTAAGTAGTGAAAATCTTTTAAATCAATCGTTCTATTTTGACAGTTTCAGAGCTGAGATAGGAAGGTCACAACAGTCTCACCTGTTTCATCGATGAGCGTTCTGATGGATTTCTAGCAGGAACTGCTTCTTTTGGAGTACACGGTGGTGATTGGCAGCTTCTGGGTACACTATTGATGTGGGAAAGGCTGCTTCTGTTGCCATTTTAAACCCACCCACTCCCCTGATTAGAGATTTTGCAGATGGAGGGCTTGTCCAGCTTCAGTCCACCTTGACTGAAATGTCACTTAGCCAACGAAGAACGAAGAGCAAGTTTTCTGCAGACAAAAGGCAGACTTTATAGAATGAATAAATGCAGGAGACTTGTTCCAGAAAGTTACCTCCATTACCATCCTGCTCCAAGAAGTAACTTGGGCTGAAGTTTTGGATGATCAGGCAGGGGATGATCAGGCTTCTGTATTGTCGTAATCTTTGCGGGCAAAGGAGTTCCTGAAGCTATAGTTCTGTTGCTCTCATTTTTAGTGGCGGGGAAAGAGGAGTCAATCCTCATCTGTTTCTCTGCTGTATTGGGTTTATGGACCGCCAGTATCATTACTGGCGCTGGCCTAGTTTCTTTACTGGGCTCTGGGTTACATTTTTAGGCGATAGGATTGAATCAGAGAAGTGACAGGGTGGGAGCTTATTTCAGGAGCTGATAGTTTGTTACCATCTTGGCTCCTCCTCAAATTGGTGGTTTATGGGTTGGATGATTAAAAAGGGTATTATGATGGAATCTTAAAGAGGACAAATTTATTTCTCCCCTGGTGAGATCCATTTCGCTTTACTTTTTGTATAACAAAAGTTATTAGGTGAAATCCGCTTCATTATATAGTTTTTCTTTACCTGTTCACTGTTTGTACTTTTTTTTTCTTACATTTGAACCATTTTTATTATTATATAAAATTCTTCAATAAAACTTAATAAAAGCACCTTGAATTTCTCTTTAAATGAATCTCAATATAGCCCTTCTCTCTGTCTAGTATCTCAGTAGAGTGCATTACCTTGTCCAATTTTCCTCTTTCACCATTATCTGGAACAGAGCTCTTGGTTCAAGAGAACTGAGCAGGAATGGTCTTCTTTTACAAAGCATGTCATTAGAGTAGTGTTTTATCCCAGTTGTTCAGGCAACAGTTGTTTGAGAATAAATTAATTGCCATTCATGTATCTAACATGAGCAACCTGGACAGAGAGTGGCAAAGGAATTGAAAGGAACACTTACATACCTGAAAGGCATAGCATGGATTAAAATGGTGCAACTGCTGTTGGGTCAAACTTTTTTTAAAAAAAATTACAGAAAATAAATTGTACTTAGGAATGCCGTTCACTTACCTTGCACAAAGGAAGAAATTTGTTTTTTAAGGAAGGGCTTGCTGTATTATCTGCAAACCGGATCCAGTGAAACATCCTTTTTTAAAATCATTCTCTTGGCCTTTCAGTTGTAAATCTCTCAAAACCAGCTCTACCTTGTCAGACAAAATATGTTCTACACCTGTCATTTTTCAATCATTTCTTTTAGACATAACTGTACTATGCATAGAAGCAGACATAATTATTGATATTGTGGATATGCTATTATCTGATTCCATTATTCAAAAGACTCCTTCAATATTTTCATTGTTAAAATGTTTTGCAACAGATTTGTAAATCTTTCCTCTACATAAAAACATTAGTCCAGAGGTCACCAACCTTTTGGACCTCAGAGATCACCAAACTCATAATTTTAGATCCCAGGGACCACTAACTGGTTCTGTGGGTGTATGTAAATATTGAGTGTGGTTTGGTGGTCATGTGACTGGCTGGGCGTGGCTTGAATGTAAATATTATAAATATATAAATAGTTTTTTTTATAAAAAAAAGAGCAACTTTTACCCAAAATCAGGCAAAGCAGGCAGGCAGATTGAGTTGCTCACAGAATCACAGATTCATTCAGAAATCTATCTATCTGCCATTGGCTAGCTCAGTCTGTCACATAAAATTTGCTTGCAAGCAAACTCACAAAATTAACTCACAACACACCATGTATGTAAATATTGAATTTTTTATATAAAAAAGCAACTTTCATTCAAAATCAGGCAAAGCAGGCAGATTGAGTTGCTCATAGAATCATTCAGTGATCTATCTATCTGCCATCGGCTAGCTCAGTCTCTCAAATTTGCTTGCCGTGAGTCTGCACTGAATTTGTTTGCAAGCAAACCTTCAGTCCTAAGGGAGGTTCTTGCTTAGCTAGAAAGCAAGAAATCCAACCATTTCCTGCTTCCTAACTAATCTAAATCTCCCGGCACAGCAGAACAGATGATGGTTGGAAAAAGGAAAAATAGCAACTTAGCAGACAAGTTTGCCGGGGAAGGAGTGAGTGGGCGGGGAGGGTTCCCGCGGGCCATGTGGGCTGAGCAGCCTGGATTAATTGCTTTGGTGGGGTGCTCTGGGGATGAGATTTCTCTGCGGCCCACCAAAATTTTCGCGGCCCACCAGTTGGCGACCGCTGCATTAGTCCACTCTAGTGTCCAGTTTTGAAATCATAAAATTGCTATTTTTGTATATCCCAAAAAACTAAAACAAAAATTATTTCCCAAGAGATGCTGTTTATTTTTTATAATTCCAAAATCTTATTGCAAAAGTTTCAGTGTTCCAATTTTATTTAGACCCTTAATCCATTTATAACAGGGTGTCAAACTCAATTTCATTGAGGACTGCATCAGAGCTGTGGGGGGCATGGCAAATTGGGTGGGCGTGATTAGCATGACACCACTCCCCAAACTACTGGCATGTTTCCTCTTCACATCAGGTAGACCGGGCTGAAGCTATACTGGCCTGAGCTTTCCTCTTCACATTCAGTAGACCAGGACGGCCCCATGGGCCAGATCCAACCACATTGCAGGCCGCATCTGGCCAACGGGTCTTGAGTTTGACACCCTTGGTTTATAACTTTCTAAGATCAGAATTAGCTTTTTGCTGTTTATTTCAGTCTTCTTACATTCTTATCCTTATAATTAAAATTTTCTTTTGTTCATGATCAAAGGCAGTCTCCTCCAGCATTTTCAAACTTGTCATTCTGAAGATCTCTAATAGTTTAAAAGTAGTTAATTAGCCATTTCTGAAAGTGAGTGAAAAGTGTAGTTTGTGAATCTATCATCCTTTAAAAGTCTATGCTGCAGCTGCCGGCAAGATGATTATTCCCATTGTCTCATGGCACTCCAACCCACAGAAAACTATTGTCCTGTGGTCTCCTCATGAGAAACAGCCATCTGGAGCACATGAGAGTGATCCCCTGTCTTCTCCTTATTTCATTCCAAGAAACCAGTCTACTCACTGGTTCTTTGGTCTTTGCTGTGGTCATCAGTTTTTGCAGTCATCTTCAGTTTGCCATGCCTTCTCCAGAAGCTCACCAATTCCCCCTATTTTTGAGGAAGAAAAGCTCAAAGTGAAATTAAATCCTAATTTGACTTCTTAAAAGAAAAAAGAAAAATCTCAATTCCTCATCCAAAACAAGAGATGGGAAGACACTCTAATTCTGCCATGATGCACAAGAGAGCACTCTTCATAAATAAGTGAACAAACAAGGGTTTCCTTGCCTTCAACCTGTAGCTCACAAAAAAAGGTGTATTGCTGGATACCAAAAGGTGGGCTGCTCCTGGTTTAGAGCAATCCCTTCTTAGGACTGGGATTAGAGTTACAAGCACCAGAATTCTCTGCCTGCTGGACCATATGGGGTAAGAATCTGAGAGTGGTCTCAATATGTTCAAAGGGTGCCAAGATGAGGAAGTCTGGTTTTGATTGTATATTTTAGAAACATGAGAGCCTGAATAACAACTATAAACTATTGAAACCATCAGAACAATTTGTTCTTCCTCTGCTACAGGCTTTGAAGAAAAGATGAAGTTTAACTGGACACATTGCAGTTGAAATAATCTGGTCCCCCCCCCCCCCCCCCCCCCGTTTGTAAACTGTCTTGATCTTATCTCTGAGGATGTCAGCAAACCTGGCCAATAACCATAGAAAGAATTAGCCTGTTAAACAGCAATTCTCCCTCCAATTTTGATTGTATCTCTCTATTGCAAATTTCACAACTCGTCTCAGGAATCTCGAGAACTAGAGTATTGGCGTGAAAAAAAGCTTGTTCAGACTCCTCCATTTCTTGCTTTTCACAGGAGCTTACATCCCACCAGAAGGAGCACTCAAGATCTTTGTGACAGATGGCTTATAGGCAGGGACATCTTCAAGGGTAGTAAAAGCTCAAAAAGGTGATGGCAATAAAGCTCCATCTTTTTTCATATCTGCTATATCGCCCTCTCATCTCCCCTGTATATGGCCTTGACTATAAGCCAACTTTTCCTTGTATATAGTTGAGATGCTAGGTATAAAGGTATTGGAGCCATGGGTTTATTGCCACATAAGTAAGTAAGTAAGTAAGTAAGTAAGTAAGTAAGTAAGTAATAAGCAGGCAAACAAGCTCACCCTTTGCCTTCATTGTCTATAACTGGATTTGGACTCAATCTTGGCTTTGCAAGAAATAATGGCAAGTAAAAGCTACTGTACAAAGTCAGTATTTCTAAAATGTGCCAAAGAAAGTCCATCAACCAAGTTACTTTTAATTTTCTTGGTGTCACCTAATGCGCTTCTTTGTAACATGTGGTTTCTTTCCTATGGCCCATTAATATAAGCCAGTGCTGTTTTCATCATCTCTTGTGCATTTCTCTATTGTTAGTGACAAGGGAAGAGATTTAAAAATTGCTTCTTTCCTACAACTGTTTATGTGCCTCAACTCATGCCAGACAGGTGCCCGCAGTAATATTAGTTTGGCTTCTTGATTACTTTTGTTTGTGTGGTGGCTCCTCTGATGGCTGAGTTTGCCCTTCTATGAAGCCCTTTTATAGGACTGTTTTTCCAAACAGATTCACCAGGCTGCAGTCCTTGTATTCTAAAAGACAGGAAGGGACCCTGGATTTCCTTTCTTTCCATGATCCACATCAGTTAGCATCCAGTCAGGAGGTCTGTTCAGGATGAAAAGAATATGGGATTGTGTAAGTTTCATTTCTTTCAAGAGAGGGAAATGTCTTTCTTTTCAAAGTACCTCTTTCATTTCCTGTGCACAGAGTGGCTTTGTCTTGAGTAGGATAATTAAGTTGTTGACCTTCTGCAGGGGTCACATGGTACTTCCTCCAGGAGAAAGATAAAAAACTGTCAAAAATGGGCTTGGAGAATGCCTGCCAAGGTAGGTGACATTCCCATCATGTCTGATAAATGTGCAATAAAGGCAATTTGTAATTGTCTGCAATCAGCTAAAATCCCCAAATAGTAAGGCACAGAATTCATTCAAAGTTTTTTAAAATTCTACCTTTTCTGCTTTGGCTGTCTCCTCTCCCTGGAATTTGATTAGGGAGGCTGCAATTGGATGCTTGAAAAGTTAGATTTTAATCTTTTGCAGTTTAATTGTCTGTTCCCTAACCAAAAGGTGGTTTTCAAAAAAAAGTACCCAAACCCAAGGAATTTCAGTGCTAACACAAGAGTTATATCTCATGTTCTTTTTACTTGTTTTATAGGATTCACCACTGCCTACTGAAAAAAAAATTCCAGCAATTTCATATCAAATCCACTGAAAACTAGGTCAATGATTCGTTCAGCTTTTCACTTTTTCCTTTTTTAAAATAGCAATTTTAAAAATGTTATTAGATTGATATCCTGTCTTCATAGAACTCAGGGTGGTATCTAATCCTCCCTCCTTCTACAAACATCCTGCAAACTAGGTTGGACTGAGAGCGTGAGACTATTCCAAAATCACATAGCCAGCTTAAGGGAGATCTAGAACTTATGGCGTCACCATTCCTAATCCAGCACCTTACCACTATGTCAAATGGGTTCTCATGCAATGTAGATTCATGCAGTTTCATGCATATAATTTATTTCATTCAACTTATGACCAATGTTTCCCCTTTTGTCAATTAAAATTGTTTTGGAAGGGAAGAGGGCCAACATAATGACCAGGGAAGGGAGCAAGCAACTATTTAGCATCCATTTATTCAGAATTCAATGCAGATAAATATGCTGTTCCTCATGATCTCCTTATTATAGTATCCCTGCTACTTTACCAATAGAAAATACAAAACATTTCAATAAAAAAATGAAATGATGTTCATGAAATATACAATATTAAACTCACATGAACATTCAGAAATAATTTTCATTTTAACAGATCTGTAGAGTTACTATGATTAGAGAGAATTGTCACCCAATAACCAAGACCCTGAACACTGAGATGAATTTCACGGCAGCTGGGTACATGCAGTATCATGATCCATCCACTAGCTCAGCATGTTTGCATGAAACATGAAATGAAGAACATTTTTCACATGTCCCTACTTACGTGGTTGCTTCTCCCTGAAATCATAGAATCATAAAATGTAAGCATTGGAAGATATCTTGAAGGTCATTGTAGCCCAACCCCTCTAACTCAGTGCAAGAATCCACTACTATAGCTTTCCTGACAGATGGCAACCAGCCTCTGAATGAATGCTTCCAGTGAAGGTAAGTCCAAGGTAGTCTGTTCCATTGCTGAACTGCTCTGTAAGGCAGTGTTTTGGGTCCTTCTAGTCTTCTGTAACCATCTCTTTCTGAAGGCAACCAACCCGCATCCTCCAGGATTTGTCTTATGATCCCTTCCCTCAGTGGTGGGATTCATTTTTTTTTAACTACCGTTTCTGTGGGCATGGCAGGGGAAGGATACTGTAAAATCTCCAGTCAGAGGTGGGATTTGCCGGTTCTCTGAACTACTCAAAATTTCCGCTACCGGTTCTCCAGGACTGGTCAGAACCTGCTGAATACCACCTCTGCCTTCCCTCCAGAAATGTATATGTCTAAGGAAGAGGAAAAAGAAAGCCTTTTTATGTCAAAGGCTTCTGGCTGACACATGGAGAGGGCTGTATTTTAAAAACTGACTTCAATAGCAAATTGAGCAAGGCTGAGAGGGGGAAAAATATGTTATTTTAAAAAAAGTTTCAAAATTATCTGCCTTCATATAAACAGCTAAGGGGTGGCGGGGGGAGTAAAACATTTTGGGCCATGAATTGTGCAACTTTCAATCTTTTTTTTTCTGTGAAAACCTAGAATTTTGTGAATGTTTTATGAGGGGACCTCGAAAGGGGAGGTGGGGAAATCACTTGATTAAAGCAATTTTTCTAACATTACAGCTAATTGGAGGTTCTAAGATTTTTTTAAAAAAAACTAAGCTTCCAACGCCTGAGAAGATTTGAAACAACCATCCATCCCAGTGGTGGGATTCAATTTTTTTTTACTACCGGTTCTGTGGGCGTGGCTTGGTGGGCGTGGCAGGGGAAGGATACTGTAAAATCTCCAGTCAGAGGTGGGATTTGCCGGTTCTCCGAACTACTCAAAATTTCCCCTACCGATTCTGCAGAACTGGTCAGAACCTGCTGAATAACCACCTCTGATCCATCCCCTGAATTTAACTGGAATTAATTGGAAGAGTGAAGAGATACCCACAGGTGAGAATGTGATTAGGAAAATACTACAATGTGCAGAAATGAATAGATTAACGTTGGCATTTAAAGAGAAAGAGCAAACTGAATATTATATGGCATGGGATTTATTCTATCAATGGTTAAATAATAGAAATGGAAGTTAGTAACAGGGAAACAAAATAAAGATGATGTGTTAAAAGTGGAAAGCTAATATGATCGCTAACATGTTGAATATTACCATGTTAATATTGTATAATTAATTAGTATAATTAATAGGTGGATATTACTGTGTTAAATATGCAGAATATGTCATGAAGGATGTTATAACTTTGATTATTTTTTTAACAAAGATGCTTGTAACCCAGACAACACACTGTTCAACTGAAGATGGAATGATTGTATAAAAGTAAAAAATGTATTATAAAAAAAAATTTTTTTTTCAACTAAGCTTCCAAAGCCTGAGAAGATTTGAAACCCCCTGCTATAGATTTTACAACCATCCTTCCCCTGGATTTAACTGGCTAAAAAATGCAACAGATTTCCTGGGTTCACCTGTGCCTGAAGGTGTGGGCCAATGATTTTAGTCGTAATCAATGCATTTATCAGGGAGCTATAATACTGGGAAATACGTATTTGGATAACACAGTACCTTGCATATAATCCACATACTGTGTCGTATTGCATCTCCTGATAAAATCTTCCTCAAAGTAAGTTGGGCTCTTCGTGAACACACTGTTGACTATGGTCTTGCTTTCAGGAGGGGCCCATGGTGCTCTCTGAGCTTGTTTGTTTTCTTGAAGATGTTTCATTACCCTAACTAAATAACATCACCAGTGCTTTCAGGATCAATTCAAAGTGCTGGCTGTTCCCCTTTAAAGCCCTGCATTGCTGTGTTTCAGGATGTGACAATCTTTCCCACCCAGATTTAGCCCAGCCAACGAAATTACCTAGAGAAGGGTGTGTGTGAAAATTTACTTTCTCATCTTTTCAAGTAGTTGGTTAGGATGTGAGTGGCCTGTAAGCCCTGTAAATAAATAAAACCATCATGCCACCTGTGAAAAAGAATGACACCCCCCCAAGCAGTGGTGTATGTTAGGGCACCAGGCCCAAAGGGGCCCCACAAAAACTTTTATGTAGCCTTAAGCTTGGCTTCGTTTGTACAGTATGTACAAAGGAAGGGGGACACCAAGATTTGTCACTGCCAGAAGTTCGATCCTGACAGGGGTCAAGGTTGACTCAGCCTTCCATCCTTCCGAGGTGGGTAAAATGAGGACCCAGATTGTTGGGGGCAATAGGCTGACTCTGTAAACCGCTTAGAGAGGGCTGTAAAGTACTGTGAAACAGTATATAAATTTAAGTGCTATTGCTATTTAAACACTATTGTTCCATGGTGCACAAAGTTGCAAATACTGTAAGGGTTGCTGGAATAATAAGAAGTTAGGTCTGACTAGTATCTTCATTTTTTGTTTCAGTTATAAACTCTCCTGAGTCCCCTGCTGAAGGAGACTGACTATAATTTATTGTATAATAAATAAATTCATTTTTCTTGGCAGCAATGCACAAGTGGTTTGGCACTGCTTTGAGGCATTCTTTTTTTTAACTTTGTGGTCTCATGCATAGCCATGGTGTCCCCTAAAAGCCCCCTATCCAAATATTAATCAGGCACTGCTCTGCTTAACTTCCAAGGTTGGTGAACTGGCCCCAATTATTTCTTTAAAAATCTGGATAAAAGCAATGGAATCACAAACCTTTGTAGTGCCACCTATTCATATTGCTCTTTTGATTTTTTTTAAAAATCAAGCTTGGTCAAGCAGTTCAAACAGCTCTGTTTCCAATAAACCTTAAAAATATTTCTGAATGATCCTTAATTTTCTTTTCTATTACATGGCATCAAACTTTAAGAATTAAGCCAACAAGTATGCCAAATAAAGACGTTTTCAGCATTCCCCTGTTTTTCATCCTCCCACTCTGAAACCAACTCTGGAATTCAAAGAGGAATTAAAATCCCTTCATATTCTCCCAAACGTTCTCTGCAGCCTTCTCTAATGCCCTTGCAACCCACAAACACATTTAAACAATTCCAAGCTGGATATTTAGGTTCTTTACTGGGCATTGTTCCTTTTGTCAAATGCTGCATTAAACATGAAATATGGATGGGCTTGTATGAAGAAAATGCTACAACAATTTGGGCAACAATTAAGAGAGCAAATAATCTTGCTGCTGCTTTTTTTTTTTTTAATTATCCGTAAATCACTAGGTCTGGGGGTGGGATTAAGTAGTCTTTCAGGGAAGCTCACTGAATTCTCCATGGCTGCGCTCAGACCTTCTTAAGGACTCCATGCAAAGAGAGATGAAAGCCACTGGGAGAGCAGTAGACCCTCTACTGGTCTTGAACCCTTGGTGAACAGAAACCCTGCTCTCTTTGAAGTCAGCTCTGTTGTTTCCTTCAGTAATTCTGGGTGGCAAACAGACAGGGTGAGGCTTTGGGCTTCTAACAAAACATCCTAAAGACTAAC